GGTTGGTTGGTTGGTTGGTTGGTTGGTTGGTTGGTTGGTTGGTTGGTTGGTTGGTTGGTTGGGTTTCTGTTTCGTTTGGCTTTATAACATTTAAGGACATAGATACCAGACAATATTTATTTGTCTTGTATAAATCACTTTGACTATAAGACCCTAGTATAGTTGATTCAGCAGATAAAGGCACCCATCACCAAGCCTGATGGCCTGAGGTTAGTCCCCAGGACCCACATGGTAGAAGAAAAGAACCGACTATTGGAACTTGTTCTCTGATCTCCATTGGGTGAGGCTTGGCACACCTGCAAAAATGCACATATAATAAATGAGTTAGTAAAAATATAATTTTAAAAGATGTATTATTTTTAATTATGTGTACATGTAGGTCAGAGTGTGAGTATGTCATGTGAGTGCAGGTGCCCTCAGGGACCACAGGCATCAGAGCCGTCCCCAGAGCTGGAGTTATTGGTGCTTTCAGCCACCGTGACATGGATGCTGGAAATCAACTCAAGTCTTCTGCAAAAGTAATACACGCTCTTCACCCTGAGCCACCTCTCCAGCCCCAATTTAAAAATAAAAGGTTTAAATGAATGCTTCATATAAAGAAGTACAACATACAGAGACAAGAAGCACAGCCCATGGTTTTTATAAACTTATAGTTAGGCATACCATGCTTTTTTTTTTTCTTCCAATGCTAAGAATTAAACTTAGACATTTGTTAAGGGAAGTGCTCATCCACTGAGTTAAGTCCTGGCCCATGTAGCATACTTTGGGCAGTCATTTTTTTAAGTGATTTTTTTTTTCATAATTGAGTTTTTTTTTCTTTATAAGCAGGTAATAACAGAGAAATATATCCAGCCAGCTAGAACTATAGAATATGAAGAAAACAATAGTTTTTTTCAGTTATTTTTCCTTTATTTTATTTACTATTATTGTATGCGTGTATATGTATATGATGGGGAAGGGGTTGTAGCCACAGCATGCATGTGTGGAGATCAGAGGACAACTTTGTGCAGTCAGTTCTCTCCATCCATCTGTATTGGGGCGGCAGGGATCAAGTTCAGGTCTGTGGCAAGTGTTTATACCAACTAAGCTGTAACCAGCCTCGGTTAATTCTTCCATTAGGTTTGCGTTCCTCTAGGTACCCTCCTGTCATGCAGTTGACCTTTTCCTGACAGCATACTTTCTGTGCCTTGGAATTGGTTGTGAATGGCTACGTTACAGATTGTTCCACATTACCTCACAGCTTCTGTGGGACAGGAAGCAGCTTAGTTGGGTGGTCCTGGATCAGCCTCACAAGCTTTCTGTCAAGATGTTGCTAGGCCTGCAGTCATCTGAAGACTGACTGTGCTTAAGGATCCACTTGTTTCCTGAACACATTGGCTCTTCTTTAGGGCTGCTTGGATGTCTTCAGGATATGACAGCTTTCCTCAGAACAAGTGATACAAGACATACTCTTTTATGTCCCAATAACAAGAGCCCCTCCCAATCATTTCCCCATAGTCTGGTTGCTAGAAACAACTAATTCCATACAGCCTCACATTAGGAATGGAGATTAGCCTCTACCAAAGGAGGGAGGACCATGGAAATAGTGGACATTTTATAATCATCACAACTGGCTTTGCCACTTTTTCTGACTGGGGTGCTATCAATAACAAGGTAACAGGTTGTATTCAAGTGTCTGATTAGTCAAGAATATAGTGCTTGCAAACTGTTTCTTAGAGGAGGGTAACTCTTGCCCCTCTCTCAGGGATGTGTGTAATGATTATTTAAAAACTAGATAAAGAGAGAAATTAGGAACATATGAACTAACTTACTCAGTAAACATTATATTACTATGTATAGGAACATACAAACAAGTCATGTTGTCTGTATCTTTGAGAAATTTATATTAGAGAATCCAGACCCCCCCCCTCCAAAAAAAGACAAATATAAAAGAAACAGATGATAGTGGTAAACAGATGCCTTGGTTATGTGAAAAACAAACATCTAGCCAACATGTGAGAGGTCAAGGAGTCAGGGAAGCTTTCCAGGAACAGTGATTCCACCACAGAACTCAGACATAGAGCTCTAGTCCTAGACAGGGAGGTGCCTCACTACTCTCATTGCCTTGCAGAATGTTGCAGAAGCACAGTGCATCGCCAATCAGGTTCAGCTCTTCTACGCTACTGATCGGAAGGAGATCTATGGGCTAGTAGAGACCTTTAACTTCAGACCGAATGAGTTCAAATATATGTCTGTCATCGCTGAATTGGAGCAAAGTGGACTTGGAGCAGAACTGAAATGTGCCCAGAACCAGGATAAGACTTAGAGATATCTGAATTGGCCCTTCACAGAGTTGGCTCAGTCTTGGATAGCCTGAAGTCCACCAACAGAGCTCAACAACTGCAACAAACAGTCTGTGAAGAGTTACTGTATATGCTTCTTTCAAGATGTGGTTGTGGACATGAGCCCTAATGCTTGATATTCAGGAACAAAGATGTACAGATATTCTGATAATTACCTCTCAGCATAAGGGTTCCTTTTAAGTGTTTCTGGCCATTTGAACAAGAACTATTCAGGGATCTGCAAGACTATTGTCTGGGTTTTATTCAGTGTAACAGTGCAGTTGCATTCTGGCCGTTTTGACCTCATAGCTCCCAGTTTTGTGTCTTCATAAACTGTAGCAATAAGCTTGAAGATCTTAGAGGTATTGCCTTTATGTACTCTTTCCATGCACCAGTGAGCTGACTAAAAATAACCTAAAAATCCTAGCCAGACTCAAAAACAGCCAGCTAGTCTCATCAGAATAAAGACTTCTAGATGACCCTCCAGAGTTGCCATCAGTGTAACTCAGTGAATTTTGGTTATAGTTAAATGAACAGGTACAATGCCTGCATACTGTCAAACTGTCGCTTATAGCCCTGCTCCCTCTGCCCGTGAGAAGCTGATGAATCACTACAGTGTAAATAAAACCTTTTTCTAAGGAGATCATTCCAGATTTGCATGATTAAAAATAAAGCATTATATGAAAATTTGGGTAGAAGCGAACGTTCCCAGATTGAGTGTGGAGAATATAGCAGTAAAAACGAGTCTGGTTCTCAGACTTTGTTACACAAAATAGGAGCAACTAAGCTTTGCACCGTCGGTGGCATCAGTGCTGTGGGTTGACTTTATCAGAACTCATCTTGAGCCTCAATGATTTCTTGAAACACCAGAAATAAGCAACTTGTTCTCCAGCACCAGAAGCACATGGATCACTTTGTGGCTCCAAGTTCATTGGTGGAAAAATGCGTTGGGCCCATACCAACCTTATGAACTTAAAGCCGCAGGTGTCCCCAGTATTATCGGCAGTCCCTGTACCGCACCTCTCATTCGGTCTTAATATGCTGTCCCTGCCTGATCTTGTTGGATGCCACCAAATATGGTCAGTGGAACTTTCAGTAGTATTTTCAGTTTATGTATGTTCTTCATTACAGGATTTTTGTTCTTGTTTTTCGAGACAAGGTCTTCCCCCAAGCCCCCCAACTGAGGACTGAACCCAGGGACTTGCTAGGCAAGTGCTCTACCCCTGAGCTAAATCCCCAACCCTCATTACAGGATTTTTAAGGATAGGCCTCACCCAAAGCCTTTTAAATAGGTGTGGTGGTTTGAATAAGAATGACCCCCATAGGCTCATAGATTTGGATGCTTAGTTGAACCACTTGAAAGAATTAGAAAGATTTGGTGGCTTGTTGAAGGAACCGTGTCGCTGGGAGTAGGCTTGAGGTTTTAAAAGCCCATGGCAGGGCCAGAGAGAGAGAGCGCGCATTTGTGGGTCAGAAGGTAGCTCTCAGCTACTTCTCCAGTGCCATCCCTGCCAGCTGCCATGCTCTCTGCCATGATAATGGACTAAGCCTCTGAAACTGTAAGCAAGCCCCCCAATTAAATGTTTTCTTTTATAAGAGTGACCTTGGTCATACTATCTCTTCACAATAGAACAGTGATTAAGAAAGACAGTACGGTTGGCCATCACATTATTTTCTGGATAAAGAAACGTGTTTACTTAACCTGGAGAAGCTGTGCTTTCAGTTTCTCTAAAGGTGGAGTTGATTTCTAATGCAGCTTCTAGATCTGCTATGGTCCTACCAGTGCGCATTTTGAGAAACTTGAGTCCTGTCAACCCTGCAGTTTTCCTTGACTGCCTTCCAAGTTTCTAGATAATATACGTCCCAAGGCTCTTAGGCATTGGGTGGGGTTGCTTTTGTGGGTATCCAGCTATGTTTGCTTTTCTCTCCAGATAGATCCAGTTCTTAGCCATAGAACATTTTCATGGCACCTCTACGAGAGGGTGAAAAGATGATGAGAGGAAAAGAGCTAGCCACTCATTTCATAGTTCCTCCCAGCTTTGCCCTCGATCCCATTTGCCAAAGAAGGTTGATGCATCCCTGGGTAATTATATTAGATGTGACTAAAGTACCATCTGACTGCTGTTAATGTTTATTTTTACCAAACAGATCTAGCAAATAATAAATGAAAACCATAGCAGTTAGTCTATAAATTTGTTCCCTGACTCCAGCATGGTGTTTCTAAGGTATTGATAGGATTTGGAGCTCATTGAATTGGTTCATAGATTATCATTACTTTCATTAGCTTGCTGATGATAAATTGCTTAAACTCTAGTTGTTATGTTTCTTCTAATGCTATCTACCTCATATTATTGTGAGGATTATTGAGAGACTTCGGTTAGCTTACATACAGACTACAGTAGAATTTAATACATGCTGGGTCTCTTCCTCCTAAGGCCAGCACAGGCTAGGAATATAGCTCAGTGGCGGAACACTTGCCTAGCACATGTCAGGCCCTGAGTTTACTTTCCAGAATCAGACAGGAAGAACATTAAGTCAGCGTTTCAGATGTACAGTTCACCCTTCATTTCAGCTCAAACAACAAATCCTATCTCACTGATTCTCAACTTGAGGTACAATGGAATCATTTGAAAACACTTTAAAATGCAGTTCCTGGGCAGTGACCTGCTGAATCAAAGTGTGCACAAAGCACTAGGAGCCTACAATTTAGTATGTATTCTGGGTAATTAGTGAGCCTTTGCGAACCATTGCCTTACCTGTTCCTTGCAAATGTCCACTAGATGGGTCTTTTCTCACCTGCAGACATTCACACAGGATTTAGATTCCCCTGCTCTTTGTCTTCCTGGTAGTTCCTTTGTGTACTCCAGTTACATTGCACTATATTTATTTTTGTGTGTTTGCCCCACTAGACTGTGAGCTCCTTGAGGGCCAGGATTTATCTTTATTCTCAGTGCCAGGGACATGACCTGAACCACAGAAGAAACTCAACTGTTGAACAAATAAATGATACAGATTTTAGCCAAAAACTCTTACTGAGTTATGTGTTTCTCTGTTTAAATCCTGTAATGTTGTGGTTTGAATGTAAATTTCCTCACAGGCTCCTGTGTTGGAACACTCTCCACAGCTGGTGGCACTATTTGGGGAGGTTGTGGAACCGGTGGGAGGTGGGGCCTCACTGGCAAATGTATGTTAGGGAGCAAGGCCTTACAGGTTATACAAGCTTCTAGTTTACTACTCTGTTTCTCATCCATGTCCTCAATGTGAACAAGCCTGGGCTGCCACCTCCCACTGCCATGAACTCTGCCAGGCCTGACCAGCCATGATGGACCACACCTGCTGAAAGTACAAGCCCAAATAAATCCTTCCTTGCTTAAGATGTCTGCCAGGTGTGTGGTCACAGCAACACAAATGTATCAATACATTTGAACTTAAGACCTCCCCTTTCCGCTTAATCTCATCCTCTCCCCCCACCCCCAAAAGTTTCCTTTTTTTTTTTTTTTTTTTAAATTAAACAATTTTATATGTATGGGTACTTTGTCTGCATGTATGCCTGCTGCCTATGAAGGCTAGATAGGATGTTTGATCCCTTGGAACTACAGTGTCAGATGTTTGTGAGCCACCGTGTGGGTACTAGGAATCAAACCCCCAGGTCCTTTAGAAGAGCAGCCAGTGCTCTTTACTGATCGAGCCCTCTCTCCAGCCCCAGTGCCTCTCAGGCTGGCTTCATTTTACGGCCAAGGCTAGCCTTGATCTCCTGCCTGTCTTTACCTATTAGGTGCTGGAGCTACAGGCACACACCATGATTCCTGGCTTCTCTTTCTTTTAGTGTGGTTTTAGCGCTAGGAACTGAACCCCAGGATCCACCAGTGAGCTATTCCCAGCTTTTACAACTCAGCAGCTGCTCCCACAGCACTTACTGCCATGTTAAGTGCTGCACCTGGGAGGATGAGGGTGTGGTCCCTGCTCCCAAGCTGTGTATCCTCCCAAACTGTGTTGCTTGCCTCTGATTCTGAGCCTTATATCTAGAACCTGGTCTTGCTTTGCCTTGTTCTCAGAGTAGTCACACTTGTTTCTCTTCCAACTCATTTAGAAGGCAGAGTCATTCTCTACAATAGCAACCTTTTGTTCAGTCTGGGAGAAGAGGCATAGATGCCCACTCCCCCCCCCGGCACTAGATGAAGCCTTGTTTCAGCAGTTAAACTTTCAATCACCTGTTTATATACTTAAAGGGAGAATATAGCAGGGCAAACAGAGTCTCTGCTGTATGTAGTTTATATTCCCATAACAAAGACAAGTAAGTAAAGTAGTAAAATTATGTCAGCTAAAACACCAGCTATGATACATAAGGTGATGGACTGTTGAGTGAAAGAAATGGCTTACTGGCCAGGAAAGCTCACTCTGTAGAGGTCACTCTCTGTTGATATGAGGGCTGGAGAGAGAATACCCGGGAAAGGTGTGAAGATTTTGAAATATAAACATGCTTGTTTCTAGCAGAGGGTTAGTCCCTACCCTTGAGCGTAGTGCAGGCAAGACACTGACATGCACAATGACAATAAAAGATGGTGATCAATGCCATCTCCAAGAAGGGCAGGGAGGGCTTGCCCTTATCTGGTCTGGCAGGAGATACAAAGCTTGTCGGAGCCTGGTACTTGACAAGGTGGTAGTTTATGGCGTAATAGAAAATAACAGGTAAATATTATTAGAGCCTCAAAAGGTGTGTTTTATATTGTATGCACATGTGCATATATGCATACAAAGGAAAGAGTGAGGGAGAGGCGCTTTTCATGCAGAAAATAGAGGGTCCTGTGAGCCCAGAACTGGCCTCTGCTTTACAGTGTGTACACATTAACAATAGCCGCTAACATTTTCTGAGGCCTTATCATATGCCAGACTTCACATAGTCCCACCTACGAGATCAGCAGGCACCTGCGAAATGGGGAGAGGTACTGCCCACTCTCTTTATACTCTTCTACCCTGCCCCACCTCCAGCTCAGAAGAGTGCAACCTCAAACTCCAGCCACAGCGGTAAGCTCAGGTCTCCAGAAGGCATAGGTAGTAGCAGAACCAGTGCAAAGAAAGATGTCTGCCGACACTCCTGGTGATGAAAGAACAGTGTGAGCGTTTTGAAAGACACCCTGGTCTAACTGGAGGGAACCCTTCTGGTGTTCTGCTTACCCTCATGGACCAGGGTGGCAACACTGTTATGCCTGTCTGCTGACAGAGAAACTTCAGGCCTTGGGGAGAGGTGACTTGAAGGCACCTGCCTGAATCAAGAGCCACACGCAGAAAAGAAGCGGCTCCAGACTTAAGACTTTCCGTTGTTGTGTGCTGAGATTTGTTTCTCACATCCATTCACACAGGGATACTTCAGGGCTATTTGGGCCTCAAGAACTGGGATAAAGAGGTTCATTTATCTTTTCAGTTTTAACAAAAGAAGTCTTGGGATATCTGTAAGAAAAAAAAAATGGTTCCCAAACAAAAAAATAAGCCTCCTAAGATCCTCAGAACATTCAAGACAAAGTACCTTTGGATCAATTCACCAGGGCTTCAGGCTCTGGTGCCCCCTGATTTCTCCAGGCTCTCCTCTCTTGCTGGGCTTTGTAGCTTCAGCCATCTCACTAACAGTTTCCTGATCACTGTGCTCGGATTTCCTACTTCTGTCCTGGTCTTACCAGCTATTTGTTTATGTGATTGAACTGCCTAACCCCTTTCATCAAATTATTTCCTAATTGTCTTTTAAACATCCACTAAAACATTTCTACTTTCTTTCCCTAAATCCTGCTGTCCCCACATTGCCCCGCCTGGGTCATTGCTCTGCTGTCCCAGCATTTCTTTCTCAGCCTTTACAAAGATGACACTCTTTAGAGACAGGATTATGTTCTTGTTGTCCAGTATGGAATCTTCTAGAGAGTTAGGAGATCCTGGTGATTTTGAATGAATTCTTCCCAGATGATCATTAACTCAAACTCCCTGAGTCTATAAAACGTCCTTGAGGTCCAGTCTTGGCAAATCATATGTTTGTCCCAGTCCCAAACAGTAGCTATTTTGCTTACTCTTTCTAGAAGCTGCAGGTAGAGGAAAAAAAGGCAAGGGGCTGTCATGAGAAGCAGCCAAGTCTACAGCTGGTAAGCAGAAAGAATGGAAAAATAATGACTAAGCTTTTGGAACAAGACTGATTTTAGAGTAACAGCCTGGCTTGATTGTGTTCTTGTCCTGGCTCACTACGCTTCAACATTAAGAGTCCTTAGATATGGTCCTTCAAGAAACTCCAAGAGCTCCTTAGCAGTCAACAACCTGAGAGTCTGGTCCTTACCCCCAATGCATCCAGAAAATTAATGTTTATTTACTACTAAGTTTAAAATATTACTACCTGGTGACTCTTGTAGTTCCCTGTGCACCCAGAGCATTTGCAATGTGACATCGTCACCACCTTCCATTCTTATTTCTTCAACTATTTCTCATTATGACTGGTCAGATGAGGTTAAGCAGACATGTCTTAATTTTTGCCCTAGTATTACATGGAGAGAGAGGAGGTATACGTATTTGCTGAGACTCATTTGATATACAGTTCCCAAAAGGCTCTGGATATGTTTGCTTTCACAACTTGTTTTCTTTCATTTGGTCTTTGCAGCAATGCAAAAAGGGTAATATTAAATTCCCATTTTACAGATGAGAACACTGGGAAAACCACATTGTAAATTTTGAGTCAGAGCTAAATTAAAACACCAGCTTTGTCTCTTATCAGTTGTCTAACCATGCACTCTGAGCCTTTGAATTCTCATCTATAAGTAAAGGAATAGTCCTGTCTCCAAAGTGAAAAGATAATAAAACAATTGGGTATGTGTAGTGCCTAACACTCTAATGAGAGTGCAAAGTAGTAGCTGCTAGATTGAGTCTCTGGCCTGCTCAAGGTGCATGTCTCTATAGAGGAGTGGGACTTCTGGAATGTAAATTAGAAAAAAAAAAAAACTATGTAGACCTATTTCTGGAACATGTATTTCTATTATGCTATTTCCCATGCCGTTTTCAGAAAGCCTCTTCCAGGAATTTTGAAAGGCTTGAGTCCTGATCAGATGAGGGGCAGATGCTAAGAATTTGGGGAGCCTTGAGGCTGGATTTAGAAGCTGGAGCGTAAGAACAAAGAGAAGGACAGGTTACACTAAAGCCAGCTCACACAGGATATGGTAACGCTTTAGCACTCATTCGTCACTGCTGGGCCCAGTCCCACCCTTGGGCAAAGACATAGGGAGTAAGATACAGGCGGGCAGCCCTACAGCCAGCAAGCTAACCTCTGAATCAGGTAGCAACACCTTGAATTTGAGGCCAAGGTATCTAAGTACAAGTCATTCTTTATATATGGCTTATCTGAAGATTGTTTTTTAAATAATTTATTTAATTTTATTTTATGTACATCAGTGTGAAGGTGTCAGATCCCTTGGAACTGGAGTTACAGACAGTAGTGAGCTGCCACGTGGGTGCTGAGAATTGAACCCGGGTCCTTTAGGAAGAGCAGACAGTGCTGTTAACCACTGAGCCATCTCCAGCCCCAGGGGATTCCTTTTGTTTTCAAAAACTTTATTTATTTTATGTGTATGTATTTACATCCACAAAAAAAGTTATGGCTTTTAAAGTAAGCTGTTTGTGTGTCAAGCTGATAAGGAGTAGAGTGTAATGTTCTTTTGTTGTTGACACAGAATCTCTCTAATGTAGCCCTAGCTGTTCTGGAACTCATGCACATCAGGCTGACCTTGAATTTACTGAGATCCTCCTGCCTCTGCCTCCGTGCTGGGAGGCAGCACGCCTAGCTCTGTGATGGTTTTTTTTTTTTTTTTTTTTTAACAGCACCTTGCTACAAAGTAGAAGAGCCTGAGAAGCGGCACCTGAAGAGTTGTGCTGAATTCCTCAATGGATACAGGGGGACCACGCCAGCTCTGTCAGCTACCTTCTGGTAGCAGGGCAGAGCTGTAAAGGGGGTCCTAGGCAGAAGGAAGATTCTTCACCTTTTGCTTGCTCTGCCTTCCCTCTT